GCGACCGATCATCTTCATCGCCTCTTGTTTCGGCGGCCTTGTCCTGGCCGAGGTACGTCCCGATGCATGGACTGCAAACAGCAGTTAACATCCCCAGGCTATCAATCGAGCGGCCCAGCAAGGCAGCACCTACCGACATATTCTGCTTTCCACTATCGGGATCGTGTTTCTCGCCACTCCGTTCCACGGCACCGATGCTGCCAAGCAGGCTCGGTGGCAGGTGCTGGTTGCCGGTATTATGGGAGAGCAGGCCTCCGATCAGCTCATACAAGACCTCGAGCAGAAACACGACTTGGTTCGTCAGCGCATCCAGAAATTCACCGAGATCGCGAATGCCGAGGCGGTTCGACTGCCGCTGTATTGCTTCTTCGAAACCAAGAAGACGGAGCTGTTGAGACGCATTTTATCGCCGCGTTGGGCGAAGACGCTGGCTACAGGAGTGACCCACAAGATCGTACGTCAACTTTCTTGCCATTCATAATGCAGCTAACCTGGGACAGCTTGTAACGGAGTCTTCGGCTTGTCTCCATGGTTTCCATCGCCAAGGGCTGGATGCAACCCATTCGGGCATGAACAAATTCGCTGGCCCAGAATGCCCCAACTTTAAACTCGTCAAAGATGTAGTTAGGCAATTAGTTAGAAACGCATCGGCCGTTCTGACACTCCGGAAGAACTGTAAGTTGACCATCTCTGAGCGGGCTGCTACGGCCAGGATCATGCTAACATGGTGAAGCACCTGACGAGCGGCACTGGATGGTCCCGTTCGGACGTAACAGGGAATTCGTCGGCCGTGAAGCGATTCTCCAGGACCTCCTCGGGAGGATCCCTCCTAGTGTGGACAAGGATAACTGCCAGCGGACTGCAATCGAAGGGCTAGGAGGTGTTGGAAAGACGCAGATCGCACTCGAGGCCGCTTTTCGTGTTGGTGACGCGCATCCGGACTGCTCGGTTTTTTGGGTTCCCGCCGTGGATGCCACCAGCTTTGAGAACGCATACCGCGTCATCGGCCAGCTGCTCAAGGTACCCGGGATCAACGAGGAGAAGGCAGATGTCAAGGCACTTGTCAAGACAGCCTTGAGTTGTGAAAGCACGGGCAGCTGGCTTTTGGTCATCGACAACGCTGATGACATAAAGCTCTTTGGCGACATGGACCTCGGCGACTATCTTCCATTCAGCCGGAAAGGGTCTATTCTGTTCACAACGCGAAATCACGAAGTTGCGGTAGAGCTAGTCGAGTCTGAGCGTCGCATCATTCCAGTTGAAGAAATGAGCAGAGACGAAGCCCTTGAGCTGTTACAGAAAGGGTTGAAGGGGGATCAGATAGGCGATGTGGCAAGCACTGACGCGCTGCTGGAATTTCTTTGCAATCTCCCCCTAGCAATACGGCAGGCCTCTGCTTATATGGGCAAGAAGCAGATTTCGACTGCACAATACCTTGAGCTATGCAACTCCAGTGACGAGGATACGATCGAGCTGTTAAGCCGGGACTTTGAAGACCGACATCGATATAAGGACATCCAAAACCCTGTCGCCACAACTTGGCTGATTTCGTTCCAGCACATCTCAGAGCACGACCCGCTGGCAGCAGACTACCTCAGGTTTATGTGCTTCCTAGCTGGGAAGGATATTCCGCAATCTGTGCTGCCGCCGTCCGGCAGGCTAAAGACTATCGACGCACTTGGGACCCTAAAGGCATACGCATTCATCTCCCAACACAAGGAGTCCGATACTTACGACATCCACCCGCTAGTTCAAATATCGATGCTATGTTGGTTAGCTCAAAGTGGAGAGCAGGGGGAATGGGCCGCCAAAGTACTACAAAGGCTTGCAGACGTGTTTCCTGTTCCAAAACACGAAAACAGAGAAGAATGGATAGGGTATCTTCCGCATACACAACGCGCTCTTGAGTTGCGGAAGGGTACAGAAGACGGGGACGCACTGACTGGTCTTCTATCTAGGGTAGGTGAGAGTTTTCACCAGTTAGGAAAATATGAAGATGCGGAACGGATGCATCGGCAGGCATTGAAGTTGAGTGAAAATGTGTTGGGCAAGGAGCATCCAGACACACTTACCAGCATGAACAACCTTGCGCTTGTACTTGGGAGCCAGGGGAAGTACGAAGAGGCCGAGCGGATACACCGGCAGGCATTGG